GAGAATGGGATGAGGCTCTATTGACTCTCATCTGAAACAACCAGTTTGCCTCTTGACAGGAGTGGAGTAGACACCTGACTGCCACACTGTGGGGTAGGTGAGAAGTAAAGCAGTAAAGTATTAACAAATGAAACAGAAAACTTTGTGTGCGTGTCTAATATGAATTCCACAATTTCTATTGGTAGATATGGTCTGTACCTCACATCCATGGACTGAACCTCATCTGTTGAATCTTCCATGCTACTAGATTTCCCATCAACAGCTTCCAGCTGAATAAGTCCTGGAACTGACTTTAGTCCATTAGCAACTACATCTTGGGAAGGGATTACAGAGGTGGCACTTTCTAAGCTTTTATTTTTCAGAGAGGTTGCCAATCCATTGATCTCTATAAAAGAAGGTTAGAAATTATGACAGTGGCAACTTATTTAAATATTTTTTTTAAAAAATCACAAATGCTTTTAAGTTATAGACTGAGCAGAAAGGAAGATTGACAATGCAGTAGGACTCAGTTTCATCTTACTATACTGTCAATGCTATTTTCTACTCTAAAATTGCTCTTTATGCTCCATCTTTTAAATTCGAGGAAAGAGGAAGAGAACATTTTATCTTTCATGTCATGTACTAAAAGTGTTAGCCTGGGGAAGTAAACAAAACACAGATAAATGCCAGATATGTATATTTTATTTAATAATTCTTCAACTACATATACTTTTTTTGTAAGTCAAATTAAACTGAAGATTTAGAACAATGCTATAAAAAGCTTGCAAGCTTGGTTGTGTGCAAAAATTTTCTACCTGCAAAATTCAAAGGTGGATTGCAGCAACCAAACCTATTGGCAGACTGGAACTTCTCATTTACAGAAATGCTATGTCAGGTATTAAAATGGAGGAGGAACTTCCTTCTGCTTAAGTGGCAAAACAAAGTGTCCAGTTTCTAACACTTGTCACTGATGCAAATGTAGCTGTTCTTTTTGAGAGAAAGCGATAATACACAGTGCTCTGCCTGAGATTACAAAACTCTGAAGAGAACTAACTGAGAAAACAGATCAGGAAAATACGGCAATTTTTACCTGGCTGGTTAAGAACAAGGGCCTTTGGTTGCTTTTCCACATTCAAAGTTGATGGTACCTCCAGTTTTGGCTCTTCCTTCTGTAATCAAGTAATAAGTCAACTGTATTAGACAAAGGACTATAAGGTTCATGGAACTGACTGGACTCAAAACTTGTGAGACTGCCCAGGGCCAGTCAAAGGTCATCAACAGGAAGAGAGGATTTTTTTTTTCCTTTTTAATTAGGCATAGGAATTTTTTTTTTCCTTCAAAAAGACAACATTCTCTGAAAGTAACTGAAGATACCGGCTCCTTAGTAGAAAACTTCAAACAGAAGCAAAAACTTGACTCTCTGTCACTTCCTAGACAGACACAATTGCCTTGTTCTCAATCCTACATTCCTGGCAGGCTTAACACAGAGACCTCAGTAACTAACTCACTGGCTGGTACAAAGCACAAGAAGATATGTCACAGCAGCAAAGATTACAGCTCCAGCATCCAGGAATAGGCTCTTGCCACCTTGCTGGGTAGTGAGGGAGGTAAGTCTGCAACAGTTGCATACAGCTGTGTCTCTGTAGCAGTGGCACAACAATAACTGTGACACAGCAACAGTCATTCTCAGTTCAAAATGCAACTAAAATTTGGGTGCAGAGTGTACCTAAGTATACCTCCTAAGGTGGAACTACTCTAGAGTTTAATTTTCACACATGGGTAATAAAACAAAACAAAAAACCCCCCTGCAGCCACACACTGTTCCATACCTTTATTTCTGGTGTTTCATTCCTCCTTGTTCTCTTCATTATTTCATCTATTCTCTAGAAATCAAAATAAATTGGGAGGATGAGAAGGCAGACAGAATACTTAACAGAAGAGACTGATAAAAGAGCCAAAAAGACAAAAAGAACTTTTCTCTAATGTCATGACCTCATCCTTGCCTGTCCTGAAAAAGGAAGAATAAATAAGAAAAATAAACAAAAGTCAGAAAACACCTCGGAGCTGGCTTTCACCTATCAGATCTCACAGAACATGACTTTCTCAGTAGATGCAACTTAAAGACAAACATTTTAATACCAGGTGTTTGCAGTTATGAATTGTACTCAGCACTGGAACAAGACGTTTATTTAAAGCCAACAGCTATTATTTTCATCTAATTGCTTTCCAACTATTTCCAAATAATTCCTTTAAAAACAGTTAGGCTTTTTGGAATGGAAGAGTAAAATGACCTATCGAAGTTATTCTTGCTGGAAATGTGTAAGCCATTACCTTAGAATACCTTTTTGTTCTCCTTCTTTGTTCTTTAAAAAAAAAAAACCCTCCCAACAAACCTTGTCTCTTTGCACTACTGTGAAAGGAAACTATTTCAGATTTAAAGGCACTTTGGTTTGGTATTCTAACCTGCAACTGCAACATGCCTGCAGTTCAGTGGTAAACAGTTAAAAGTAACATAATGGAATAACACGTATGGAAAGATGCCCTTTTATAATCAGACAGAGGTTCTGCAGCTCTGCAGCTGTTGTCTCTTTCCTGCCACAGAGCTGTAATAAAGCTAATTTATGCAGCTCCAGCCATTTCCTTGTGCAGTAGTGGCCAGACAGCCCTGCTGCCTCTGCATAACACAACCAGAGACAAGCCAGGTGGGAGAAACCCTGTTTGTTAATCACATTAACTTTCTCAATTAATGACACAGCTTTTGTTGAGTAAGTTTTAAAACAAAGTCACTCATGTTCCTCAATAGTCTGTGATGTCCTGGGTTAGATGACAATTGACATTTGCCTTGGCATGCCATCCCCTGTTTGTTTCAGGCACTTAACTTTGTGGGTAGAGGCTAATTCTGTGTTTGTCCAGTGCCTAGTAGAAAGTTGTTTGCCTTAGGCAATTCCACTTTGTCACAAATTTTGATGTCCACATTCCCCTAAAATGCAAGTAGCAAATACTAAGTTAGGCATAAATATCCATCTGTAATCCCTCCAGATTATTATTGCTAGATACTATTGAGTACTTCCTGCATTATGTATTTAAACAAGAAATGAAATAATTATCTTGAGATGCAAATACCTACCTTCTTCCGCTCCAGTCTTTCTTGCTCAATTTGCTGCATGATTTGTTCCCTTTCAAGACGAAGTTGTTCAGCTGCCTCACGGGCTTTGATTTCTGCTTCTTCCCTCTAATCAAAATGTGTAAAATATGATAGGGCCATTATTTATTTCAGGCAGATTACCAGATATAAAGTATTTCTTTGTATGTACATACAAATACATGTATACATATGTATGTACATAAAACTTCACGTTTGTGTTTGAGATGGTACCTGTTTCTCAAGTTTGGCCTGGAGCTCTTTTTCTTGCTTTTCCTTTAGCATTTGTTCTTCCTCAGCTCTTCTCTTGGCTTCCTCTTCTGCCTTTTTTCTAGCTGCCTCTTCTTCATGTTTTCTTTCCTCTTCCTTCTTACGAGCTTCTTCCTCTAGACGAAGTCTTTCTTCTTCTGCCTTTCTTTTCTGTTCTTCTCTTTCAAGCCTGCAAAAAATGTAACAGTATGTTTAAAAGGCTTCATCTTGTTTAGCATGAATCCTATTGTTTGTATGGCGTGCAATCAGCAGTAACTGGTAATATATGCAGCAGCGCACATTTTCATGAAAAATGCCAAGATACAGCAAAGAGGTTGAGCACATGCTCAGAATTCAGGTTGCCATCCAACTTTTATTCCAATATTTTCACTGCCTAAAATATTTCATAGAAATTATAATTTTCCTTGAAAAAGCAGGTGTGATCAAAGAAAACATTTCCATTCGAATTTAAATTAGAGCTTCAGTAATAAAAGTAAGTTTCAATAATAAAAACATCCCTCTTCCCCTGTACTTTACACCCAGAATGCTGGTATCTATAAACAAACAGGTACTTTTTTTCATTTGTTTGAGCTGAAGATAAACAGATTGGATGAGTAGCAGCAAACGAAGTCCACAAAACACAGTGGTACACTAGAAAGAGTGGGTCTAAATTCCACCTGTGTTGTTCCCTGGCCCACTGTGGGCCATCATGCTCCTTTGTCACCACAGGCAAAAGCTGCTTTGACAAGTTATCATTCTCATCCTTGCCTATCAGGGATTCAGGAAATATTTCTATTGGGCCAAACTGGCAGGCACAGGTGATCCCCTACTCCCCCCGACACATTTTCAGTAAGAACAAAGTTGAATTTAGACATGCAGAGTTAGTGATTTACTATTAGGGGCTTGAAGGAAGGGCATGATTTGTTGACACTTGCAATCAGCATCCCATGCGGAGCACAGCATAAAAGCTTGCTCCCAGAACAGAGCCAGAATTTCAGAGCTTAGACACAGCAACCTTCATTATGCCCACACTCTTAAAAGCCCTCAAATGCCTACAACAGAGTTGGACAGGAAGATGAACTTCAGGTTAATTTGTTGAACGATACAAGCCTTACCATTTAAGGCATAATACTACTGCAAGACTGTTTCTTCTACACGAACTAGCTCATTTAAAACTGCCTCAAGTATTTCTTTTACAACATACCTGAAGTATTTGGATGAGTAATAGGCTTCTTAAAGAGGCCAAATTATTATTTTCTAACTTCACTAGTCATAAAGACTGCAAAAGACACTAATGAATTATGAGTCCAAGTTGAAAGAAATTAACACTTAGATGTAAGCTCCCACCTTGATTCTAAAACTACCAGAGTTTCAAGCATCTTCAATGATATAGGTTAAATTATTAGGTAATAACTTTCACGAATCAATAGAGATACCTCTCCCGTTCTTCTCTTTCCTGTCTCTCCCTTTCTTCTTGTTCTTTTTGCAGGCGGGCCTGTCGTCTTTTTTCAGCTAGAATTTTTGAAGCTTCTTCTGCATCAGTTGTTCCTGCTATGATCTTCCCTAGGAGACAATGACAGAGGGTGGAAAGTTAGGCAGGGAACAAAGAGAGTGCCCAGCACTTCCACACTTGCACAAAGGCTGAAAAGGGCCTGGTTCACACTGGTATGACACCTTTGCTTTTCAGAAGCATACCTCCCCATTTTCAGCAGATAGAATATGGGATAGATAAGGGCATCCCTGGATTTCAGCATTTTCATATCCTCGTTAACAAGTGTTTTTCATACATGGGTAACCCTGGTGAAACCTATACATTCACTGGTTCCAGTATGTACCTTTACACATGAGCAGCTTCATGAAAAGAACAGGTCATCACTGTTTAAAAGCCTCAAGGACATGTGATATTTTGCAATATATTCTTGCTGTAATACTCACCTTCACTATTTTCAGTCTTTGCTGCAGAAGGCATGTGTTTCTCAGAAGCCACCTGGCCTGCCTCATCAGTGCGTGCTCCTGAGCATTTCTGATGACTGACATTCTCTTTCTCCTTGTCTGCTTTCTTTTTTGGAGTTTCCTGGTTGACATTAGAAGTGGCTCGATGCTTCACAGGAGAAGCTGGATATTGTTTGGTGTTTTTAGGAGACTGAGGATAAGTCTTTGCAACTGTCCTGATAAGGGAAAACAAAAATCAAAACAGGCCATACGTTACACAGCTTGGAATCAAACTCCTTCACATATATCATTCTTCTTTCTTGTCTCTGGCTACACAGCAGTATCAGCTGTTTTGCACAATACTGCATAGAAACCACCTGGATGCAAGCAATCAGAACCTGCAATGCAGGGAACTGGCATACAAGTGCAAATCATGATGGAAAATTCTCATTTAAAAAAAAACAATAATACCTCCGAGTTGTAGGCAAGAGATATGAAATCATGGACTACCTAAACCAATTATTTTAGTAATGGCCATTTTGTAACAATTTTGTCAACATTACTGTATTCAATAGTCCTTCTCAACATTTAAAGCAAAGCTATGGCTGCTTTCTGCCTGCAGAATTAGTTGCAGTGTGCTGCCTTCATCTGAATACTGCCTTGTCAAACATGGCCTTTTTCTATTAGTACCTGATTTTCCAAAACAGCCCCAACTACTACTACATATGAAGGTAAAGCTCGGTACCACAAAAAGACAGAACTGACCAAACCATTGTACAGTTGGCTCTGCTGTTTCAGTTAGTGCTTTAATCAGCACCAACACAACAGACTCAAGGCTCAAAACTCAGCCCCTCCAACCTTTTATACAACTGCACTTGTGCTGACGGCAATGCACAGCTTGGTTGACTTTTGCGTACTTTAGGTGAAACGATAACCTTGAAAGTCAGTTCTGAGAAAGCAGAAGGGTAAAGGTATTTGATATTCACTGAAAATAGGTGCACATTAAAGAGAACAGATTACTAGAAAACATAAAACTACGCACAAACACCATTCATTATTTATGTAACACCAGTAACTAGCACTAAATACTTGTAACATTAAGAAAGGCTGGGCTGTGTGACTAAGTAGCATGGAAGAGATGAGAATCTTAAAATAATGATTTCTGTGAGTCCCATTAGAATAAATAATTCTACATTACAGTGAACATTACACATGTAGTTTTAAGCTTCTTTATGCATACGCAATTATGATAGAAATTTATTATCCCTTATTACTTTTTTCATCTACACAATATAGAGTTTCATGTACTGTAACACGGTTTTCTGGACTATACATGCATTCTGGCAGACCACAAGCATGAAAAACACGCACAATGGCTGAAAATCAATGGACTGAAGTGGCAAGTTTTGTATAGATCTAACTATAGTATTGTGTCGCCAGAGACTATTATAACTGGAACAACATTTGCATTACGGAGAAGACAATAAAAATTAAACGTCTTTCAACTTCCTGTCAATTCATGAATTCAGGAGAAGAAAGGGTTCTTTTCCACCATATTATGCTGCATTTGAAAGAGCCTGAGACATCAGAACACAGGGAGCTTATTCACAGCTGCCTGGTTTGCAGGGAGGAAAAGACTGCAGAGTATTACACTACCCATACTTTCTTACTCCCACTGAAAAGCCATCACAGACTCCAAAACCCCTTGGGCTGCTGGAACCGTAGCACCCAACTAAATTTGAAGTTCAGCTCAGGTACCTTCTGCCTGCAGGCCCAGGAGCTCCTTGTCAGCTCAGTTCCTTGCCCTCGGTTCCTTGCCTGAGCCAAGCTGTAGGTAAGCCTGCTCTTGGCCTTCCTACCTGGTGACCCTGACCTGATGTCCTGGTTTGTCCTTGGACCTGCCTCAGTAAGGCCTTTGCTGGCTGTCACTAGACTCTTGGTGACCCTGGTCACCATCACCAGAGCTGCCCTGGTCACTTCTTTTGTCTGCTGTGGGATAGGGTCCTGTGGGTGAGATCCCTGTCCTTGTCTGCCCGGCTGCCACCCATGGCTCCTGGCTCACCCTGCCTTGCAGGGCAGCCTATGCCTGCTGCTCCCTGACAGAAACAGGCTTTGGAGGATGCACACAGGCAAGTCTGTTTCCAGCTCTTGTGAAAAACAGCAATGGGTGAAGCCAATGAGATTGGTTGGTGTTGACCAAATCTGGTTTTAGCACTATCTTTAGTTTTCTCTTTAGGATATAGATGGTTCCCCAGGCCCTCCTAAAGACAAAGGCAGAGATTTCAAGGCCCCATTCACATATGTATGTCTTGTACATGCCTCACCATTAGTCATTTCCATCCCTATTTCATAAAAATGTAACATGTAAATAAAAAGCAAACAACCTTTTTCTTATGCTTCTCTGCAGCACAGAGGATGCTTCCTGCTAATCAGACACTTCTTAAAAGCATAGTCCCTTGTTGCTGTCTTTGGTTTACATTTACAACTTTACCACACATTCCTCATAATGCTTTTTATTTAATTTGTTGTGACAGAAGGAGCAAAACAGTTACATAACTAAGACTGAGCAATTTTCAGTATCAGCACAGGAGTAACTGTTCTCTAATAAAGACATAGCAATCAAATTAAAGAGGTTGGTAGGAAGGAGTTTAGTCATGAGAGCTATGTATCTTGCACTGCATAGGAATTAGAGCAGGCTGGCTGTACAACTTACTGTTGGACTAGAAACATGTGCTGAATATATTATTTAAGCAATGCATCTTTGAACTTTCAGACCTACAGAAATTTTTTCTTACAGCTCTTTGGCCAGAAGAACAAGAAACAAGTATGGCTTTGCTTCTTTTAAAGCAACCAAAAGGGAGAAGCATATAAAAGTCTGATTACCGTAAGGATGACAACAGTGCAGTGCGAGGAGTGAAAAGCTGAGAGTGTCCATCAGGAATAAAAATCTTTTTTCAGAAATTTAAAATCATTTATTGGATGTCAGTAGAAAGTAGAATCATAGAATCGTTCAGGTTGGAAAGGACCTTTAAGATCATCAAGTCCAACCATAAACCTAGCATGGCCAAGTCCACCACTAAGCCATGTCCCTAAGCACCATGTCTAGATGCCTTTTAAATACCTCCAGGGATGGTGACTCCACCATTTCCCTGAGCAGCCTGTTCCAATGCTTGACAACCCTTTCAGTGAAGAAATTCTTCCTAATATCCAATCTAAATCTTCCCTGGTGCAACTTGAGGCCATTTCCTCTTGTCCTGTCACTGGTTACTTGGGAGAAGAGGCCGACCCCCACCTCGCTACAACCTCATTTCAGGTAGATGTAGAGAGCGATGAGGTCTACCCTCAGCCTCCTCTTCTCCAGACCAAACACCCCCAGCTCCCTCAGCTGCTCCCCATAAGACTTGTGCTCCAGACCCTTCACCAGCTTTGTTGCCCTTCTCTGGACTCGCTCCAGCACCTCAATGTCTTTCCTGTAGTGAGGGGCCCAAAATTGAACACAGAATTTGAGAAAAGACTGGACATGGCACTTAGTGCCATGGTCTAGTTGACATGGTGGTGTTAGGGGAAAGGTTGGACTCGATGATCCTAGAGGTCTCTTCCAACCAAATCGATTCTGTGATTCTGAGTACAGGGGGACGATCACTGCCCTGGTCCTGCTGGCCACACTGTTTCTGATAAAAGCAATACAAAGTATTAAATGAACACTGTTTTCCTCCTTGTATTTAAGGCATATTGTCAACTTAGCATCTTCAACATTCCTAGACACAGGTAGAATTGTTACTGGAAAAAACACCCCTTCTAATAGCATTTAAATGTTGCTACTTTTCATCAGAAAGGGCCAAACTTGATTGTGAAGACAGAAAAATAGGATTATTAAGGGAAAATATAAAAACAGTTGCATAGGAGTCTGCTTAGGTTTAAAAAATGTTTTATTTTTGCATTGGGAGAAAAGGAAAGGTATGTAATGAAACCCTGGTAAGAATGTGGGAAGACAGAAGCGTGCCTGATGAGGATCAAAGAATGAAGATGACAAATCACAAAAATCTAAGTAGTAGTAGTACTGTTAGCTTTCTGAAAGTTCACTTGTCTTAGTCACTAAATTTTACAGGGGAACACAGAATTACAAGAAGCATCTTGCTCCCTCCAGGAGGTCTTAGTTTTCTCACCTAACCGCCCTGTGTTGACATGGGGGCAGCAGCTTGTAAGAGGCCATTCTCATGATGACCCCTACATGCACTGCAAGAACCTCTATCAGGTCTGAGGATTCACTGGCCCTTAAATTACAATGGCTCTTTTTTAATTAAAAGAGGGGTAGCCCACACTGCAGAAGAATGTCTCAGGAAGAGCACCAGAGGGGTTGTGAGCTTACTTTTGCTAAGTAAGAGAAAATAAAATACATGTAGCACATGAATCACAGGTCACATCCCATTTTGTCCATAAACAGCAAGGGAGAGAACAGCATGCTTTCTTTAAAAGCCAGGTACATGACAGGTCATTGGTTACAGAAGTTCAGAAGGCTGACTGCAAATCACAAATCTGAAGCAATACTAGAGCTGCATTATTTTTTTCCCCTCTATTAATTCAACAAAAGCTCAGCTGAAACCACACCAAGGATTTGCATGTTCTCAAGCCTGCTTTCTGAGATTGCTCTGATCACAAGATATTCCTGGGTTCTTTCATTTTTGCTCTGCTATCTGTGATATTTTCTCAAAAGCAGTTCTTTCTCACTCTTAGTTTCAGTCTTCTCTAGCCAGAGTCAGATTCATTTCTCTCTTACACCTCTTAAAAGAGCACAAACTCAGCACAGGTCTATAGAATAGTTATTTTGATAGCTGCATTACTACAGATGTTTTTAAAATCTTGAATGGGCCCATTATCTAAGCTAGTTGCTGAAAAAAACCTCCAAATAGTCTTGATCCAACATTCTACCCATTGTTTTTATCTTTCCAAGGCAAAACAAAGACCAAGAGTAGTAAATGTAGCACATATCAAATAAAATCTAAAACTAGGTCACTGCAGGACATAGAAGCTACTTCTGTGAGGAATTCACCACATGCAGACACCTTTCTAATAGGTCATTTAAAAAACTTTTAAAAGTTTGGGCTTTTTTGTGCTACTCTAGGTTCATATTTCATCAGTATTCTGTACTTTGATTGAGCATGTGCATTTCTGACATCAAAGTGTGTCCCAACAGCTGTAGTGGGATGTTGCCCAAAAGAACCACCAAGTTACGGGTTCAGTTAGTGAAACTGTGAGCAAAGAACAGTGATACAGACTGGGAATTTGAAATGAAACAAGAACCGCTACCCACCAGCAGCACTGCAGTCCCTTTTCCCTTCCCCCTTGCCCCTTTCTTCTTCTCAAATGAGGTAATGCTTTGGCAAAATAACGGAACACAGAGGCTTGTCAGAATTTTCCATTTTTATTCACTGGCTTATACTATGGCTTATCTGAAGACACTTAAAATTAAATCCTACTTCCTTGATTCAGTCAGGTCCCATTGATTTCAAAGGGACTATTTAGCCAAAGCCACGTGAAGGACACAAGCTTTATTGTTTTGCCAATCTATAAGATAGGACATTTACTTATTCTCTGGGGGATACTGCAAGAATAGACTGAATAATGTATAGATCTTTGAAGATGAAGCATCAAAAAAAATTTACCAAAAATACTGGTATTATTGATCTTATGAAAGATCTGAAGAACAGGAGCACTTTACACAACCAGTATCCAATAGCAATTGTAAAAATAAAAGATAATTTCTCAATTATCCCAGCTTTCTAATCCATTAACTTTGTCAACTGATCCACACTGGATTCAAAGAAATAATTTTGGGTTTCTTTCTTCTGTGATGTTTCTTGATATATTTACTTTTTCAAATATCTTCAAACTTTGAATTCCTTCCTTGCTTTTCATTATTGCTCAACATATTTTTATTTTTTCCCCCCCTTTTCTCCTTTTTAGGCTCATATTTGTTCACTCATTTTGTCTTGGACATTATGTTTTTGGGGGGATCTTTTTGGCTTTCTCAGTAAAATTTGCACCTTCAAACATTTGTATTTTATTTATGCAATTACTGCAAATCTATTCTACCATCAACCACTGTCTCTCTTTAGGTTGAAGTTTTATTGTCTTGTTTGAGCCTGTTTCAGTTACTTTACCATGACAGAAAGAGCTTTTTAATTAATAAATAATGAAATAACATATAAAGAAGACAAGCAACTATCACTCACAAAGCAAGATGATGACTGTGAAGAGCCAGTAACTAGAACAATACCAAACAAACTTGAATGTCAAGTGACATACTTTTAAGAACAAAAATGCATACAGCTAATTATCATCTAAGTGACTGGCCATACTTGATTCTTTCCTCATCAGCTTTCGAAGTTAAGGTGCTATGCAGGTTCACTAACTACTAATGCTGTACAATACATACTCTTATTTCTTCTAGGGTATTTTTTTGGCCACATGGTGTGCTGGAAGGAGAGAAAGATTAAACTTGTAAAAGACTGTCAGGTTTGCAAGGAGAATGAGTATTTGTCTACATATTTAGTCACATTGAAAAGACACTTAAGTTCCAGAGTTAATTTTAAACTAAAAGGTAAGAGTATACATACTAAAGGAAGGTTCCAAAAGCCTGACTGCCTATATTTAAATCCACTGACCAGCCAGATGATTATCTGGTATTTGAGTTGTATGAAGAAATGTGTATCTTTATATAATAATATAATATGGTAATCAGGACACCTCATTTCATTTTATTTCAAACTTTTGAGGGGAAGTTTTGAGAGTGCTGAAGCAGAACTGTGTTTCTGTAATCAGTAATAAACATGGATTTAAACTCTATTTACTGTATCTCTCATAAGATCAAGAAGAGTGTTCTAACTGGGCCATGTTAAGATTAAACGCTCAGTAATACACTTCTAGCTGTGGTCAGAATCAGATTCTCTTGAGGAAGACAAGGAGGAAAAAAGAAAGAAAAAAAAAAAAGGGTAACTACCGTGGCTCACAATCACACAGAAACCCACCAGTAGGCTTCTTAATTCCTGCACACAGCATCTGCTTCTTCCTCTAAACACAGTAGCTTATATTCCTTATAGGCATGAAAAATTTTAATATAAAAAGGTTATCACAATTTGCACCTCTGGGTAAAAAGTCTCTACCTTTGCCTAACCTTTTATGGAAATCAGTGCTACAAATTAAGACTGGGCATACTTTTTTCACGAAGCACTAAACATCTGTTTGTTTCACAAAAGCTTTTTCTTTTTTTCCTCAGATGTCTTTATGATAAGCTATATTAACCTTTTCAATGTCTGCCCATCAAGAAGCACTTCACTCTCAGCAATCCATTTCCCACCAATCATTTTGCTTAACTAAATACGTCTCTTGGTATGTCTTTTATACTGAGCGAACTGAAAGATGCATTCTGAACAGGGAATATCAGTCCTTCCACAATAATATACATTTTTATAGCTCAAAATTTTCTCTGTCCATTTTGGAGTGCCACTAGACAATGATCTGCTCAAAATTGCAATGAAAAAAGCTGATTGTCATTAACATTTCATATCATTCTATTATTCACAAAATTTATGTAGTGCAGAATCTGATGACATTATAAATATAATACATAACTATACATACATGTATGTATTTTGAAAGTGTGAGAATCTGTAGCCCTATAATATGAACTAAGAATTGCAATTTCCCAGCTGCATGCAAGTGGATGTCTGAAACAGAAAGAACGCCCAGAGTCAGATGGTTTCCTGTATTTTGTCTAACACCAGATTCACACCCAAAAATCATCCTCCGTTAAAGGACTATGCACTCAGAGCTGAAACAGAAAAAGAACACCAGTTTTTGAAGTGGAAAAAATTTATCAGAAAGAGAATCAAGACTGGTTCAGAATATTGCCAGGTTCAGATTTAAAAAAAAAAAAAAAAAAATCAGACAAAAGGAGATAATTTTCAAGACAGAAGCAGGACCTATGAACAGGGTCTAGGGTAAAAAAAAACCCCACAAAACAAAACAAAAAAACAACAAAACAAATCACACAACTACTGCAGACCATGACTACTTTAGCCTACTTCTGCATTTGAGCCAGACTTAATAACCTGTTCTAAGAAAGCTGAAGACGCATTTGCTTAAACTTGTGAGTTGCAAGCTGTGGTAAGTGAACTACAGTTTTGAGTATCTACAAAAGACAACTAAGAAAAGGAACTGAATTGCCAGTAAGCCCAGATATGCTATAGGCCCATAATTCTGCATGAAAGAAAACAAAACAAAACCACACCCAAAAAACCACACAACAAAACCCAACAAAACAACAACAAAAAGCAATAAACCCACAGAGGTCTGCAAATAAGCAAAGATTAAAACCGATGGTTTAGATGATACATAGTTAAGTATACTTATAGAACCAGATGGTCATGTAGCAATACGAAATGCTGGAATTTCTAGTTAGTATTCACGTTCTGTGCATTTCTTCACATTAGGCAGAGTTTCTTCAAAAGCAAATAAAACAAAAGCATGTTTAAAAACAAATGAGTAATAATGAACACAAACAGCCTTCTGTATTCCTTCTGCTAACTCCGACAATCCTTTTACCCAGATAGGAATAGGCTCCCCCTGTTTTTTGGGGTCCATGCCCCCAGCCCAATAAGCCACTTGAGCTGTTATCAACTGGTCGTCTGCTGGCCCATCACTCAAAAACAATCCTGGTCCCCAAAATCCTCTAGCCTCATCATCACTCAACTATATCCGATTGCCCCTGGTTAAAGAAACTCTCCACAAATACTCCATTTCTGTCTTCTGTGGTTTTCGTGAAAACTTAGCTTGCAATTCACTAAGCTTGGGTCCTGTCCATGAGGTGATATGGACAGTGCTTCAAGGGTTCCCACCTTGTGGACTCGTGTGCTGCTTGGTTTTAATAAGAGGTCATACATGCTTTTCCTCCAATTCTATCATTTCATTAGAGCCATTTTCATCAGGGTCTCCCCAGATGTCCCCACCTCAATCCTCGGGGTCTGCTTCCGCAGTCAACTTCCACATTTGCACAATACTGGGGGGCTTTTTTGCTTATGCTAGCATGATTTCAATTTTTTGTTCTAATAGACACATCCACTCTCTTTCTCTTTGTAATTCTGCTTGCAAGCAGTCTATCTCCAATAGTCTTTTAAAATTGTCCTTTTCCAATAGTTCATAGTATATCTGCTGGTTCTGTGCTTATATAAAGCAAGCATCCAGGATGGCACAGAGTTACTATTGCCATGGCATTACTCTTCTGCCTTTTCCATCTTGCTGCTCTCCCTACTACCACTTCAGGGTTGAACCACTTCTCGTTTGCCCAATGTATACCCTGGGGGAGAAGGGACACTCCCTATGACCGCTTCAGGGTTGAACCACTTCTCCTTTGCCCACTGTGTATCTGGGGGAGAAGGGCTACAGTCGTGCCTGTAGAATTTCACATGAATTATGAAATACACTGTGATAATTTCAAAAGACTGAGTAAAAGGCAGAGAAGTGTCTCTGGTGAGCACTAACACAATCTTACATATATTATATCTGTAAAGGAAGATCCTCAAGAATCTATGTCTCCTTTAGAGGTAACCAGAAGCTCACAGCATAGTAGACCACTAATAAGAAAGGCATACTTAGGTGTCGCAGGTGATGCAGATCTTCTGGACATGGCAGCAGGAGAATCAGACCTTCTTAGAGGAGATCCCATACCAGATGATGAACTAGGTGTTGTGGGTCGCTTCTCTTTCTTTATCTTCTCAGTCTAGAAGCACGGTTCATTTTAGTTTCCATAATTAGGACCAACACATGAAAAAAAAAATTGATTGTTTTATCAACAAGATGGCATATACAGATTTGTTTAACATATATTTAAGATAAAAGTTTCTTAAACACCAGCTCACAACTGACTGGCAATAGTTTTTTTATTTTACATGGACATAAACACTCCCCACTGTGTCTTGTATGGACATAGTATACCAGTTGCAGATAGGTAACACCACAAAAGAGCATCTCCAAGAGTTCCTGGGATGGGTGGCGGCACTGGGTGGAGTTTTCAAAATCATCTATATGTTCCTGCAACACCTCTTAGACAAGATCAGTAGCGCACCCAGGCATCTCGCAGAAATGCTGCTGGATGTTACAACTAAGATGGACACTACACAAATCTTTAGCTCCCAGCTTTGGTCCTCTCACTAGTGTCTAACTTAGATTGCATGAATCCCCCTACTATTAACTATTACAAGACACAGGACCTTATGTGAATTTTACAGCCCTAGCATAGATTTTTTTTTTTTTTAAACATGCCTTACATTGTGTAGACTCAGTGAAGGTGAATGACTTGCCTTTGTTTTTCTGGAAACTACAGTGGACTAACAATGCATCTTTTAAGCAAACAGCATTAAAAATGTCCACAGAAATAGTTAAACAATGGTATAAAACAGAGGCATTGTCAATACACGTGGTAAGTTTCCAAAATATGGGAAGCTTGCTAATTAACAAGCAAGATTGGATAGTCATACATAGTAGAGAGATCTTATTTGTCATTCTCATTCCCAGAAGTTACAGGCAAGTCCAGAAACATACACTTCAGTGCCAGAAATCTCAGTTCCCTGAAAATAAAGGTGTTGCTGTTCCAAATACCAGCGCTGAGCATTGATTCCCAGGAGGATGAAGATACCAAAACGCTGCTAAACAGGAGCATGAAAGCAACAGATCCATGCAAGGCTTACTTTCTAACTGCTGTTTCTTACAAAAGAGGTAGCACTTGATTATTATGAACGTAAAGGGAAAGGTATCCAGAAGCTGCATCAGTTTACACAGAAGTGAAATCAAAGCCATTGCAAACTCACCTGAGTAACTTCAGCTGCAGCCGCTCCTTTCATGGCATCGAAAGTGGAGGGTGAAGTTGCCTTCTTTCTGTCGGTGCTTCGGGTGGGGGAAGGCTTGTAGGGAGATTTAAGAGGACTAGCTGGTGCTACACGAGGACAGATATGGAATACTAAAGAGTTATAGTACAATAGCAAGAGCAAAAGGGAGCACAGGGAGACAAAGTAAAGGAGAGGAGAAGACAGCATACTTTTATGTTATAATGTTCAAAGGTAATTTTCAAGGTTTTTTTAAAAGTGTTTCAAAAGATCACATTATATAACACATTCAACACGGCCCCATGTTTACTAAAAACGCCTCAACTGAACAAAACATTTTATAGGATTTTATCTTCTTTTTTAAAAATTATCTCTAAAATATTGCTCTCCAAACTCATATACTTTTTGAATCACCTGACTATGACTGTGAATTTTTTTCTTCTGAAAAGTCCAGCTTTTTTTGCATATGATAAAAAAAGTAATCAAACAGTTCTAGCTGGGTGACTTTTGAACAAATACTGCAAAACAGGAAAGGTGACAGAAGCGTACGCTTTTTTTTTTTTAAAGCCTAAACAGAGCAAAGGCTCCTAATTACCTTAATTATTTGTCAAAATAATACTTAATTAAAAAAAACAAAAACAAAATCACCAAACACAAAAGCAACCCCAAATCTAAACTAAATGCTGCTGTATGTATTTCAGTTATTGTTATTTGTGGTAGACATCAGTTTGAGTGCAACACATGCATTACAGCTTACCAGGCAACTTTTTCTGGGTGGTTTTTTTTTTATTTGCAATATGAACAGGATTTTTTTAAAATGGGATATTTTACTCCTGTTTCATACTGTCTTCTAAGATGAAACTTTCACACACATAGAACAGACAACAGAGTATATGCTCTATTAATAAGACTGAGACTAATTGTAACCACGTGACAGTCTGTTTCCAATCTTATTCAACTGAAGTCAAGAAGCATATTGACTTTGGAGAAGCAGTAATTACACTCAAATATAAAGGAATTCACATGTCCTTTTTTTTTTTTTATTGGGGGCAGTCCTGTAAAATTTCTTATGAAGCCTTTTTGTATGCTTTTAAGTTTAACTGGACCTGTGCATTCTTTGACTGACATTCCAGCAAGTTGGCAAAAGTTCACTGAATATTAAGAAAATTGTTGAGAAACTTAAATGCTGCTTAAGTATTTTTACTTCCAATTGTAAAAAAAAATTTAATTGTTTGTGTCCAATAACAACTGTTTGCCTGAATATCTTGACTCAGAGTGACATTAATAATGCATTGCCCTAGAGAAAGAGTCTTAAATTGAGGCTCCTCATTAATAAGCTTACAGAAAATGCAGAAGCAGAGCAATTTTGACCCAAACATAATGACACAAGACACAGTATGAGCTCTTGAAAAGGAAGAGCCCTCTTCCCTGTTCAAGAAGCTACTTCTGCGGACAGAAGTACACGACAAGTGGGAGATCTCCCTCAACCCTTTTGCTGGCAATTACTGACGAAACTGTCAATGATCACTCTGAGTACTGATGCTGTTTGCAAACTGTGATACAGCCTGATTGCCTTGTGAGGAAATGACAAGAGGATACTGGTTCAGAGAGCTGTTCCCAGAATCAGCACTCCTGTTTCAGGGAAAAAGCAGTTTGCAGGCCAAATTGTATCACTGTCAGACATGCCAGTGCTACTTTAAAGGTCCTGCGATGAAGAGAGAGATAAAACTGGGAGTTTACAAACAAAACGAGTGGAGAAGGACAAAGGAAGTCCCTATTGATTTCTTCAGTATCAGATACAACACAGAAAAAACAGCTGTAGGTGGCCCCAGCAATTCACCTCAAAATTTTAAGCAGAATACACTGATCTAGTATCAAGTTAGCTTTAGTTCAGTCTTAGCAGTAGTTGATCCCTGAGCAGTAAGTAAACTGGGAATTTTCTCATGGGCCAAGTACTGTATGATATTTCTGTTTCCAACAGATGCTGCTTTTAATGTAGAAAGAAAGGAAGTCATTTTAGAGTCATTCATTATCAATCTCCCTATGCCCTACAACAAAGAAGTGACACACAAAGGAAAGTAGGCTTACTTTGCAATTCATTTTTAAATAGTTTTGTATTAAAAGCACATATGCAGGACCTGATCCTATTTCAATCATGATGTATGAAAATACTCATCATAAAGATAATCAGTCTTTTACCATCTAACTAGTTTTATCCTGAAAAAAAGTTTCCTTTTGCAGATAGGCATTTGAGTGTGGGGTTTGGGGTGGGGTTTTTTTGTTTTTAATAGAAGTAAAAACAGCTGTTAAACTTTTGTCCTTGTTTCAGCAAACATTATGACCAGGTATAGCTTTATAAGTAGAAACTACTCTGGAAGTCAGGCACTTGCCTAAGTATTAGCAGGACTGGAAACCTTAGTTTTGTAGATGTTTGCAAAGTAAGGGTTTTATTAGACCACCATTTACAGATAAGAAGAGTAACCATCATCCCTAATTTTTAGCTTCTTAAAGATCAATCATTTCTGCAACTGACACCTTCCTATTGGTGTCTCTGTCTTCTCTAAGTATCATTTTGTATGTGTATACACACACACATATATATAAAAATACACATACAGTCTCACAGTTTAAGGCAAAAAGTAATTTAAGAGCAAAGTACTGGAGTCCTGGTAAAAATAATTAAGGCTCAAATGGTGCATTGGGATTTTTGTTCTACATACTATCTGGGTATGAAAGAGGATGACATTAATATGTCAAATAAAGTTTCTGAGAGGTGTCACACACTGGTCTAAAAAACTGTTTCTTAAATGAATATATTCAGTTTTCCATTGGCTTAGGTTTTAGTGATTTTGTTAATTCAAATTTTTGCTTGCTTTTTTAAAATTATGTTGTTTTTAAAAAGAAGCCATTCAGAACAGACAAGACAGACAAGATGATATGTTTTTTCAAGCTTTTAAATACACTGCTATCATGAACAACTTAGTTCATCCTTGATTTTGTACTATCATGTAAATTGTCATTTGGTTCATAGTACTCCATTTCTTTCAGCAACTACTCAAATGCAACCAAAAACATACCTTAACGGTTTCAAAGTGAGTAATTCACATTTTTACCTGCATTATTGTACTGCTCAGAAAGCATTAATGTACTTCTGCTTCTGGCTAAAGATGACTGTGTGGGAGTCAGCAGTCGAGAAACAATAAAGTTTTCCATTGGACTAAGATGCATGCGGTGAGCTGAAGGATGGGAGCAAATAAAATAAAATTTAAAATGCAAAGAAATAAAACAATGTTACATTAAAATAACTGAAACAAAATGATGAAATAATTAAATGAAATTAAAAAAAACTTGACGTGTTTGAGATTTAAAATATTTAAAGATAATTTTCATTCTCTCTGAAAAAAAGGTTTCTAGTTTCTCCATAATTTTAAATTATTTTTCCACCTGTACAGTAAATATAGTAAGGTTAAGACCATGTTGCATTTTGTTCTTACACACAGGCATGCTCCATTCCGCAAAATGGTTGCTTTCATGACTCAGCATCAAAAAGGTCTGCCTTCCTCCCCGGGTAAAAAAGGTGAAACATTTGGTATAACAGCACAGCTACTCACTAATGTGCCAACCATACTGGGACTGCATTTAAAATTTGCAGTCTCACTGCATTATGTAAGTCTTATTTATATAATATGCCTGCATTCCTTCTTACTCCATAAATACAAGCATCAACAATATAAGACAAATATTTACAGATGCTCCTATTACATGGATACATATATATTGCCATCTATCATAATAACCTCAAAGCTATTGACGAGTTTTCATTAAGTAATTCAGAAATGAAAGTAAATTTACCTTCTCTTTCCATTCTAGTCACAAGCCTTCATTGTCACTTATTTCAGTCAATATATTTTTTTCTCATTAGAGTTTTAAAAAAGGGGAGGCGAGAAGGAAAAAAAGACACACAAAATAAACCAAAAAAATCCAAAGAGTTCACAGTGGGATAAATCCTTCAGTCCTCTCTGTAGTGGTTAGTAACCACTAATCCCACAAGATGATCATCTTTTGCTCAGCCTCTCATGGATCAGAGTTTCAAATCAAATTAAAGGGCTCTACAACTTTGGCCACCAGACTGAAGTCTCCCAGGTGGCTCATCAGACATACTTCTGCCCTTGGTACAGCCCATGTCTATTGTCGAGCCACATGTTTGGTTTGTTTGTTTTTCATTATTTGGCTATAAGATCACAAGCTGTACAGTTACAGAAATTGCTGCAGTCACAGCATGTACTCGCAACCATGTTTGCTGGAATATCAAAAACTGGAAAAGAATCAGTAAAAAAAACCCACAGTGTTTGTTGCTGGACTAGGATCTCCAGCATGGCAGCAAAGTCTTGGGACAGGCTGCAGAACTATTTTATTCTATTAACTTATAATCCCTCAAATGCTTGAGTTCTTCTGAATAATAGACATAAGCGAGTTACACAGCTATAAGGACAAAAAGAGGTGCTTTAAGCAGAAGGAGAGTATATGCTGGTAAGAGACCAGCATATTCACTTGCCTCTGTCGGGGGAATGTGTTATTGCCGCTGTGGAGGAGGAGAGGCGCTTACTGATTGGCGATTCCATTTGCTTTGGCAGATTCATTGTAGAAGCTGAAAGTTTGTCACATGCTGCAGAGAGATGCATTGAAGATATTTATATTCACATCATGGTGTTGGTAAACTCCCCAAATTAACCTCGCATTTGTACTTGTGGCCCTCGCCACTGATCGTTGCATTGAACAAGGCATGAGATAAGCTCCTTCTGACAGCTGGAGGACCAGCATTTTATAAGACATGCTTTGGGATGCAACTTTTCTGCTTGTGAATTTAACGTTCCAGTTTTATGACAGCCTATCTTTTATACTGCCACTGGCAAATAATATTTTTTATATATATACACACACACATATATATATATATGTGTGTGTATATATATGAGGTCTGAATGAGTGAAGCCATTCTGATGCAACATATTCAATACCAGCACAAGCAGAAAACAAACTGCACACATGACAACTCTGAACTCCTCATCTCCATTCCCCCTCCCCTCTACTTTCACCCTCGCAGAGCTGGGGTAGACCGTAAGTACTATTCTGACAATGAAATAACCAACATTTGTGTGTTCGCATGATGAGAACTCACGGTTTTAATGACTGATCTGGCACCAGCCATTTCGCTTTATCTATTCAAAAAAAGAAAAAAAAAAAGAAAACTTTTTTGGTACTATCCCAAGTGCTTTCATTTTTCTTCTGAAACACTGTTTGCGCACAATACCTATTTCCTACCTTGCCATTTATTCAGCTAAGTGACAGAAAAAATGTTATTCAAGTATTACTACAGTGTGCTAGTATATAATGATCACTACATGATGCTCAGAAGCTAAAAGCATAGATGCTTTGTCCCTTAAATTTGAATTTTACTTCTTTCAAAACCAAAAATATTTTCAGCTAGAGATGTATATGTGGTCCTAATTCTGCAGCCCCTAAGTGACTGCATTCCCTATTATATGCATTGAAAGGTTGCCTCAGTGGGGTCTGCAAGATTTGCCTCCCTCTACTACAGTAAACAAAATTCTCTCTGTTTGCTTTTTTTAAAAGGCAGGTATAACGCTGGTATGCTGCAAAACATCAGTTGCATATCCAAATCTCTTTGTATATGAGGAACAATTAGCACAGAAATTTGAATCTATTTGCACAGAAATAATAGTTCTGTAAGATCATGGGCAGAACAACATTTATTGTGCATTCTGCAGGAGTAATATCCAAGCCTAGCTCCTCTTTTCGGGGGAGAGGAGGAACCTAGTTCTTAAAAGCACAGGCTGTGTTACATTTTCAAAATGCCAAGTACATTTGCAATCAAAATTAGAAATCCTACACGCAATCTATTCTTAATTTTGGAGGACTCATCTACTTCACAGTCCTTTTATGGGAATAATTTAAAAAGACCCAAACAACTGAACAATATAAAAGAAAACAAAACACAATTGCCTAAACAAAGTCAACTACTTGAGTTTGTCACAAATACCAGCTTGGCCAAAATCCACTTCAGGAGGCTGAAAACATAGCAGGGCTGTTTATACCAAATTTGCTTGCTCTTAAAATATTGCAGAAAAAGGCCCTTGAGATGGAAAAAGACAACTGTTCTGATAAAACATGGTCTCTGTAACACATTTTCTCTTACTGTGCAACTGAAATTTTTTTCAACAGCACCTGCATCTGTGCAGGTCCATTAGAACTGTCAAATATATGTATAATTATATTTAGACACACACAAATACAGAGCACCCGCAGAATTAACAGAGATGACAATCTGAGCGGTAAAGTCTACAGTTAGTGAGAAAACCATGAAATGCTTCTACTGTGCTGTAATGCAACGCATGCACTGCTCCACCATGGCAAAATTAAAAGGAAATTAGAAAGACATTTGGTCTACATCACTAAGGGTAATGCTGTAGAGTACCAGACTGAAATAATAAGAAAACCGTGGTTAGGAGGGACAAGATCAGTGCATGGATTACAGTGATTAGAACAGTTATAAACAAGACATGATGGTACTGTGATTCTCTGAAATACCATTGAAGGAATCAGCAGGAGCAGTAGAGGTCACAGGGTCTGGAGGAAGGGTGTTGGCAGCTAAACCTAGAACAGGGGGTGGGGTATTTTCTGATTCACCTACACAGCAATCAGAGCAAAAAGAGGTGAAAGAAATTACTGAATAAATTGGGGGAGGTGGAATTAAGCATAAACTGCATCACAAAGACAAAATGGTTTATTTTTCAAAGTATGAAAGACTTCTTTTATTACCATGTATATTTAATTTCCTGGCTTTTTTGATGGCATACTGTGAAAACTATGATGTGAAACAGATTTTACCTTTTTAGAGTAAAGTGTATTTACACACTGTTTAAAAGAGAGTAACTGTCATATTTCATCATCACCCAAACATGGATATTTTTCCCCTTAACAAACCTGACAAATTTAAATAAATTATATGATTTAAAACAGAAAACATGCATCTTTTTGAAATATAAAAGCAGTACATGACTGATTATGTAATAAAAATAATTTGTTTTGAAGAAAAAACAAAGAGAGCCACAACAAAAAGTACATGGGGGAAAAAACCCAACTATTTTAAACTGCATATGCTGCACAGTCATCTAGAAATTCCCATCAGGTTTTTAGAAGTACCAAACAGAAACAAATCATCTTTTGCAAGGCTTAGACAGCACTCAGTCTTTTGGTAAGTATTAAATTTGCTAACTGTGTGCGTGGGAAGACAATGTGGAGAAAGAGAATAAGGGAGAGAGAGCATAAATTTTAATTTTAGCATTTAGGCATCCTCCAAACAGGTTCTGGTTACTCTATCAAAATGGTCTGCATTCCTAATGTTAGGAGTGACCTTTCTCCCCAGAAGGTATTAGAGAGAGGAAGCCTGGCAAGCAATTAGAAAGCATTTATTCACACCCCAAGGCAGTAGCCCCTACAATACTACCCTAACTATAAAATGCATCATCCTTACTACCTCCACAACCTCATGCCTTTTGCACTTCAAGATCTGCAATGCAGGCAGCCTGTTTGACTTACCATCTCTCCCTCCTGAGCCTGCAGCCAGTGCTCCTCCCCACGACCATCGCTTCTGCTTCTGTTCCAGCTGCTGGCTGCGTTCAAGGGACCGACGCATCATGGCTTCTAAACGTTCCTGGTTATATTGGTACAAAACCAGAAACCAAATCTGAATCAGTTCTTTAGGAGCTTTTATTTCCTCCTTCTGAATCCATGCTAAAAATACACAGTTCCCCTGTTGCTCCATGCAAAATGATTACAGGAGCTTGTCTGCAATAAAAGAAAAAGGACTGAATAAAGAAGGTATCAGCATGCTACCTACCTCCAAATATGTGTATCCTTTGTCTGCAAGCCACTGAGGTCACTACAGAGGCCTAAGTAAGTAACACAGGTTGCATCGCTGCCTAGCATCTGCTCCTGCTGGTGAGCCTGCTGCTGTGCTCTGGACTTAATTTGTATAAGAATAATGCTCGACAAGCATTAACTCCTTCTTGTCTATGCAGACCTCAGGATTTTTTTTTCCATCCCTTTCTGAGCACAGCCAAATTGCTGCAATGCCAGTGGCTCCACCTAGCCACGAAGATAAATGATCACTTCAAACCCAAAGTAGGTTACCTTGCAGGATGCCCAATTTATTTATTTATTTTTACAAAAACGCCTTCCTTTTTTTCCCACTGTGTTCTTTACAGTCCAGGCATTTAAGAGCTTCTGATTTCCTCCCCGCTGCCGTGTAATTTTTTAGTGCATGCCCAGATAGTGCTGTTCTGAGATCTACTTTTTTTCCTCCACTCCCATATTCTTCTCCAGGACTCGATGAGTTAGGCTTTTCAGATGGGGAAGAACAAGGAGATTTCTTTCCTCCCCCTAAATCCTACCCTATCTTTAACTTACAGCTGTGTATGGTCACCTTATTCCCTCTCCATCATCTCCTAACTCTCACTCAAAGACCTCCACTCAGTTTCGTTCCCACCTCCTGCCCCTGCTAGTTTCTCAGTGGTTCATTGTTGTGGCAATGATCTCTGCACCCTTTTCTCCTTCCAAGCAGAAAAAAAAAAAAAAGGCTCTTTCCCACCCACCATTCCACCACCTACCATCCTCTTCCTTTCCTCCTCCCAATATCTCATTCACATCTGGTGATCTCTTCATCCTCACATTTCAGCAGCCCAACCCCTATTGTAAAAAATGAGTCTGCTCTTGCTGCCTCCAACTCCTGCCCCAATGGTTTTCAGCCCTGTGATCCTATTAGTATTTTTGGTCCTATTACTTACTACCTTTGCTGTGTCCTTCTGGTCTAGTATAAAACTCCTACTCTATCCACTTCGAACTCTTGATTCTGCAGGCTTCTGTGACTACATCAGATCTCCTTTGATTTCTATCAATCCCCTGCTCTATCTCCAATATCTTTTGGCAAGTCAGACCAACTGCGTGGAAAACCTCTCCTGCATCTCTTGGCCAGATTACTTTGTTTCACCGATTCATGAAAATTATGGGTTTGTATTAAAGGTGTGTGCATCAAAGAACAACATAAGACAAATGAAGGCTCTGCGTTAAGATACATGGGGAGCTGCAGGAGCAAGTAATGGCAGGGGGGAACAGAGGATGGTCAGTGTTGTAACAAGGACTAAACTCTTCTCCTAACGTCCACCACACAGCAAACTGAAAGACCGCTTGCATAGCAACCTCAAGCAGTTTGCAGCAAAATTTTTCTATTACTCGTGCAACTGAATTCCACTCAGTATATGAACTGCCAAAATATGTCTGGAAAGCAGCTATTACTTCCATATAATTCAAAAATTAATTAACTTTGAATTATAATATAGTAAGTAATCAACACTATAACATCTTGAGTTTTTCACACTCTTGTGTTTAAGTGCATACTTTTTACAAATGTAACAATAGTGCATTTGCACCAAAACAATCCCTGCAAGGCTGAAGGATATTCTTCTCCATTTAGCAGTTGTTACATCAGTCTTTCAAGTCTGAGTGCTGGATTAGATTTGATGCTGTCTACCAGTAGCGATTCATTTAAACATTAGTATATTGATAGGATCAGCACTAATTTTATCAATTTCCTTTTTAACAAAATCTGATGGTTTTATTAAAAATGGATCTTCAACAAGATGGACGTTATTGCTCTCATTCGCACTAGCATCCTTAACATGGCCCATACATGTTATATGTTCATATATCTTATGGATATATGATGTTCGTATCATCTTATGGAACATAAGAGCAGTAGAAGAACACAGCTTCTACGGAGACTTCCCAATACTCTGTGTACAGCCAGACATTTATTTGCAAGGTATTTCCAAGTCACATGGAAGTTCAAGATAGGGAAAGGGAAAAAAATATTTTAACTAAACAAGGACTAGCTTTGCTTTTATCCAGTCCCAAAGCCACTGGCTACCTACTGTTAAAAGCAACTCTTCAATAGCTTCTGTTGAACAATATGCTTCTTTCCTCAAGGCTCATGGACTGCTTTTACTAAAGGAAGTCGGCAGCTTTAAAAGCTATAAGGAGGGAAAGGCAGTGCTACTGAAGACCTCTATAGATAAGAAAGGTGCAGACAATGCAGACAGGACAATTTTCAGACACTTTTATTTCACTCCTGTCTGAGGAACTGGACACACTTCCACTGTGCTCTGCAAGAAGCTCCAGCTGCCCCAGAGGAGAACTCTGCCAGTACACCTTCATTCCCATCAACACAGACTTTAAAACCATCATCTCTTATCTGGCACTGTAGAAGGGAAAAAGTAAACAAAATAAATTGAACTTTAGCCACCTCCTCTTTGAGAAGTCCTTTGCATGCAAAACAGCCAAGCAGAGGATGCTCTGATGTAGAAAGCCAACAAGTCCCCACAGTTTGTCAAGAGCCATTAATCTCTCCAAAACTCTTACAGATGCAACAACAACATTTTCTAGAGAGAGATGTATATAACCTGTTCCTATCACAAATATGCACTGCCTTCTCCTGTGTTAAAAAGCAAGGAAAAAAAGTCTTAAGGAAGATATAAAGGACAATCAATAAGGCAGAGAGCAAGGAAGAAAATCTCTCTACTTGGCACTTCAGATGCCTGATGAGCAAGTAAAATGGGTGCTCTAGTCCCCACCCACTGTAAACCAGTGTTAAAAGGAGAAACACTGAGGACATGCTGCAGTATACTGGTTCACTGGCCAGGGCACACCTCCCCGCTCCAGGTATGGGAAATACAGGTTCAAAGCTCTTCCAGTAAAGGTGGCCTCAAATGTCCAGAATGACTTATGTGCAGCGAGTAGCTCGCAATGCTCAGGGAGCAGCAACTTCATCACCATCCTTACTCAGACCTCCACTGCTACTACGCATACAGAATTTGAGGGGCTCATCAGAAGAGCGAGGGGGTGGGAGGGTGGGATTTCGCAGATTGTTTAGTAGCATTCAAATAGAATTTGAGAAATGAGGGAATGACAAATAACCATGAAGGGAAGCCAGGAGGTAGTGGTGTCTCCTTTTCCCAGTTTCCTTCTTCCCTCATCCTTCCCTGTTCTACCAATTATTCCCTTATGTACCTTCCTCTCCTTCAGAGGCTCCTGGATTTGTCCTCCCACCAATCCTAATCCACCCCTAAACAAAAAAGCATCCTCTCCTGTCCTCCTGCCCACATAGCCTTCTCTCGGGTTCCTCAACCTGGGGCAAGGGGGGGAGGGAAGAAAGGAAAGGAGAGGGAAAGGAGCTAGGTCTGGGCCTGCCTTGGCTCCCAAAAGGCTTTGGGCAGTTTAAGGTTGAAGGACCAGGTCAGTGAGCAGAGCTAGGACTGGTATTCGTATTATAACCAAACACTTGGAGGCAGCCTTTCTCTCGCCATTAGAAAAGTCTCCCATCCCATGTACAGGGTAATGGGGAGCTATAACAGCTTGCTGATGCTTGGGAGAAACATCACTGTGCGCTCAGCCTCTTAGGTCCATCTCTCGGCAAGTGCAGGAGGCCACTACAGGAGATGGGGTCCCCACTGAATAGATCCTTTGGGTCTGACCTGGCACAGTCTCTCCTATGTGCGACAACCCTGCTCTCATTCCTCCATCAAAGGCAAACCATGCAGGCAGTTGCTCACTCTTCCAACACCCCTCCCCCTTCCCTGCCCCCCTCCGGTGCAAATTTTGAGGACAGGGTTTTGGAAGTTTTTGTACTTGTCACTTTCCCTTACAACTCCCATAAAGTGGATCAATTTTGTTTACCTGCAAAAGGTTATTACAGCAGGAAATACTAGGGTAGGAGCACATCAAGGTCAACGATGTTACCACAGAAGGAGGGAGACCTCCTACCCTTTGATTCAGGTTTTTGCCATTTTTCTTACCAAAATTTGAAACATACCACATGACAAAATATCTTCAAACGAATTCTCAGCCATTATGCAGAAGCCACAATCAGTATGCTACAGTTGAAAGAAAAATGGCAGAATATAATCTTCCCTTCAGGTTAAAGTGAAAAATCAAACAACAAAAAAAAATTTCAAATGGACAACAGTATGTTATTCTCATCCCCTGCAGAAGTGTTTTATCTCTTCTGCAAAGATATTTTGATCCAAAGATGGGGGGCAGAAAACATCACGCGGAGACATACACACACAGAGCATTCAGAAGTCTGCATCAGAAATTGGACTCACTATAGCAAAAAAGAACCTTAAATGATCTCAGCAGGGAGAGTAGAACAGAGGAAGGGTATGAAGATGTTTCAAAAGATACACGATTAATTCTGTACTGTGCTAGAATTTTAAACCAGCCTAGATTCTTCACTGCTTTAGGTAAGAATTTCTGATTTTATGTCACTGAGGAAAAATGAAATAACATGTTCTCATAAACATTATTTCAGTTTCATGGACAATAAACAAAAGAGTGAGAAAAATATCTCCCTTTTATAGAAACACTCATCTTTAAAAACTACCTTCTGGAAAGCTGGTGCTTTATTGTCTGACAGTCAGAGCACCAGATACATTAGCATAAGTAGATGACTATTCTGTGAGACCAGGAAAAAAAAAAAATCAAGATACAAAAAAAAGCTTTGGAAAGTGTTTTTGATGTACAAGCAGTAGTAGAGTACTTACAGCTGTGGTGATGTGCATTTGCAGTTCCTGAAGGAATGCCCACATCTCTGGGGAAAAAACAAACAAACAAAACCCCAAAACTCCCCAAAACCACAGAACAATAACAAAACAAAACAAAAAAACCCAACATTTAATGCATGTCAATATTCAGCTATGTGTAATGCTACCATACAGAGTTGCTCTGCCGTACATCTCGCAGTGGGCCTTACCTCCTCCTCTTTAAGCTTTTGTCTCCTTTTTTCTTCAACAGCTGCTCTCTTCTGCTCCTCTCTCTGCCTCTGTTCCTCCAGTCTTCTCCATCGCTCCTCCATTTGCTTTTCATATTGCAGTTTTGCTCTTCTTTCCTTCTCCAGTATCTGCTGTTCCCTAGCAGCTTAAGCAAAGAAAAAGGTGTGTTTCACTTTATGCAAATTTTCTTCTGCTTTAAAATTATTTGATAACACGACACAATAGTGTAAAACAACAAATACAAGTACACAGGGCTTTAGTCCACTAAGATCAAAAACGTAGTGCACAGAAGTGCTGGAACGATTAGTAAATCTAAGTGATTTGCTCAATAAATAAATAGGGAAGCCTTCTGTACACAAGGTGACAGTTTGTACCCCGTACCTGTGTAGAAACAGTGTACAAAATAGTTATCAACACTTTTTTGTTTATGTTTCAAATCTCTATGTAGCTTAAAGCCAAATTCTTTTTTCAAATGTTCCCAGTAGGTTTTAAAGTGAATCCGTTATAAAGAAGTTCCAAGGGCTTTTGCTTCAACATGTATAACTGTGCTTCTCATTATGGTGCTGCCTTCAAAATAAATACACGAAAACAACATATGCTAAATTTTCTATGAAGCTTTGAAAATACACCATTCTGTTCATAATTTGGTGCTACATCATTATCCACTTCTGCCTCTGCATGAGAAAAATTGTTTCTGTTATTGAGGGTTTGCCCACTTGTTTATTCCAACTGTAGTCATAATCTTCTTGAGACATCTGCTTGTTACAGAAATTCAGACTGCAACATTACATACAGGACTGTTGCTTCAGGTTTACATAGGAGAACAAGTAGCAGCAGTTAACATGACAAATCGTGAAGAAAAATCCACTTCTCATGCAAGTGTATTTCATAAAAAGGCAGGAAAGAGGAGTTCAGTAAGCATGCCTACATATGCACAAGTCTGTAATGTCACATACCAACACACATGGAGCCAATATCAAAAAAGGAATATTCTCACAGTTGCCAGGCTAAGAACTTGAAAGTTAGGGAAAGCCAGAATTAACGCTGCTTATATAAGAGCTAGTCCTTCAACCTGCTCACCTATTTAGCCTCAGTCTGCTGCTTCAGTTCCTGCTTCCTTGTACAGCAGATTTTCACCCTTCTAACTCTCTCCCAGTATCTCCCCATCATTCCTAAGCTCTTGCCCAGACATCTCAATTCCCTCTTCTCAGATCAGCTTTTTCCCTCAGGTCCTGCCCCCAGGCTCTTTAACCACAGCCATGACCTTCAGTCCCTCTTAGCCCCACTCCACCCTCAAGCCCTTGGTTTAAAGCCAGAGTCCCTCCACCACCACATCCTTTTCCAACAGTTGCATTTCTTTGCCTTGAATACTAGATCCTCCTAAAATACTTCTTCCTCACATCCAACCTGCTTTACAGAACACGTTCTACATTATTCTTGTTAGAAATACAGTTGGTGTTGTCTTCCCCTTTTGGCTCCTGAGAATTCACTATTCCTTCTGTCCCAGGATAGGGTAGTATGAGAGAGGTGTCAGTGCTGCAGGCAAGCCTGGACTTGTACGCATGAAGAATCAGACTTGTCAATAGATACGAGTTACCTCAGAGACAGTGGAAGACAAGTGACCCGTCACTAATTGTTAATGACTACTAGTCATGTCAGGTAAAGCACGTGAAAACAAGATGCTGGAGTTGATAAAAACCAAAAAAAGTGAGGTGTCCAGAGATTGTGCTAAGATTACCGTCTGAGTAAGTAGATGAAACCTGGGACTGGTTATGGATAGAGAAGCAAACCATCCTGTCATCATGGACATATATACAATTCCTGTTCCTTAATTTAGGAATACTAAACCACTGATTAATGAGTTTTGGCTTTGGTGAAAAGGTTATTCCATATTGCTGCAAAGTACCTGCTGGTTGCATAAAGATCTGTCCTTCTGGGGAACTCACTGCTTTTTTCTGAACTTCTAAAAAGAAATTTGCCACAGACAAATTATGACCAAAATCCAGAGCTCCCCATTCTAGAAACTGTCTTAACCCTTAAAAAGTGTGTTTCCAGAAGGCACGTACGATGTCTGGAGACAAGAACTCCAGCCAACTCCTATCCAAATCCCCTGGGCCAACCACTCCCAGATTCTCCAGCTTTCAGTTTCTCTCTCGTCTCCTCTTCTGCTTTTTAATGCAAGTCCTTTCTAATCTACTCATCATGTCACTTTCTTGGGAACCAGTAAAGAAGGGATAATCAAGAGGACAGAAGAGACAGTCTGGACTGAGCATACTTGGAAGAGATGTAAGCTACAACTCAGGCTGGTGCATGCCCTATATAGAGAGGACTTCTATCAAGATTAAGTACTGAACACTAGCAGATTTTCACAAGAACTACCAAAAGGAATCTTGCTTACCAAGCCCACAGTACTAAAAAAATGCCAAATCACTGGTCTCAAGCCTGACGTTTTGTCAAGAAATGGTCAACAGTTTGTTTGTTTATTTATTGTAAGAAAACCAGTATTTTCCTATGATTCTTCTCACAAGTGTCCATACTGGTTTAGCTGACATTACTTCAAAATAAGCCTAGCTTAAATTTTACAAAATCATAAACACTGGCAATTCTTTCTGGCAGGTATTGTCAGGTAACCTTAAGGAAAGTGCTACTGTCCTTTCTTGTTATTACAATGAGGAAAAGTGAAGTTAATTGTTCAATATTTTTTATATATATACACACACATAAGTATATGTCTATATAGAAAGTCTAAAACAATGTTGAACAGTTATTTTCATTCATAGATAAATATATACAAAATTAACTGCGTATAGACACACCCCTCATATCTTTCTCTCAATTTCCTCCACATTTCCCTGGAGGTATTAGTAGATTAAAAAAAATTGACTATTTAAAAAATTCTAAAATCAATACTTACGTTATTCAGGAAACAATAATTTTTCTCATCCCCTTGAAAGATTAACCATTTTAAAACTTACGGAAAAGTATCTGCTCTATGCCATACTTAAAAACTCCATGATATCTTTTAATACAGCTAAAACTTAATAGATTAAAATTGAGGCTGTTTCACCAAACAATCCTACGTATTATCCTGAGTATTATTTAAGGCTTATTTGGTATTTTTACAAATTGGAATCCTAACAGTCAATATCTTGCACAAACCTATATTCAAAAGTACATAAATCAAAGAAGAAAGTCAACTTGTAACTACTGAATATTAAATACTTGAATGGAAATCAAAGATGACATAGATTAGTTTATTTTTTATAATTTAATTTAAAAGTAGTAATATAAGTGATAAAGACTAGGAACAGACTGAACCACAATGTTTAAAATTCAGAACAGAAAAAATGTCATGTTAGTAACTTAAGCCTATTAACATGTATACATAAATAACAGATACACCTCCTGCCATCTTACCAAGGTATTTGTCCCTTTCTTCTCTTCTCTCTTTTGCCAGTCTTTGTCTTTCATCGGTTTTTAGAAATCCATCAATGGCTGAAGTCAGAGAGAAGGGGGAAAAAAAAAAAAAAGTGTTAAAAAAGTCATAGTAAAACTAAAGTGGCATCCAAAAGAACTAAAAAAATCCACCAAAAAATAAATTGTATCTACTGCATTTAACAACAAAAACTATTTTGCACTTGTATGCGGGCAGGTTAACAAGCTGGGATTTGGATACATCTTGGGCACAGCCTCCTACTTACTGCTGAACTCCAAGCACAGCTCCTCAGTATAAATGCCTGACTCCTCACAGCAAACAAGCATGCTGTTAGTGTTTGTTTTAAAACTTCAAACTTCCTTGGGAAAAGCCATAAGGATGCAATTAACATGTATTCATCTTTGTTAATAATCTAATTTTAAAGTTTGCGGTTAAAAAAGAAAAAGGTAGTTCAAGAAAGCAGTAAAAGTGGCATGCAGCTCTCTTAGAATATAAGACTATCTGGAGTCCCAGCCTTCATATTCATGGCTCAACACAGCCCCAGAGCTTCCTTGGCCACAGGAAACCACTAGCACCAGCTCATTTCAACAACCAGCAATTAGCACTGGATGAGGCGACAGAGGCAGCAGCCCTCCTGTCCTCTTTTCCAGGTAGGAAACGCCTCATTTCCTCCTCGAGTTGGTATCTGAAAGCAAGTTACTTTTTTGGGAGGAGGTTGCCTAAGGATGTTTTGTACCTGGATCCAGACACGCCAGTTCTTTGCACAGCACGAGCCACTGAAAAGCCCAGTTTAAGAAGGCAGGCAGGCAGAGCGTGACACATGAGATGCCTCGGCGTCACCTGCTAGCGTGCCCCAGAATGAGCAGCCAGATGGACCTTAGATGGACCTTCTACATTAGCACAGGTAAGTTCACCAGCTAGTGACCTGATAGACCAGCAAGAGGATGGTATTCTTTTAAAACAGCTGTTAGGCCTCCAGTGCCCTCCTTCATCTCTCTGTTTTCAGGATCTTCTGGGGTCTCAGCAGGGCTGCAGTGCAAACAGGCACGGTGTCGCACACAGTTTACATCCTTTGCAATCGTGATTTGGGCTCCCTATTGAGTTGCTGAATTATAATTAAGTCCCCTTCCCTTTTGCTCCAAGAACTGCAGTTGTTTAATTTTATCAGATAAATATGAGTGGAAAAGTTACTTAGACTGTAACCCCAACTCTCTTCCTGAAAAGTCACACTTGCAGGCTCTTCTCCAAGGGCATCCTGTCTGTGGGAGCAAAGATTTCACATAGCAAGTGCCGTTCTGTAAAATGCACAGTTCTGTAGGAAGGCTGAAAACCAGCCTCAGTGTCCCTTGTGACTGGTCAAAAACACAGGTCTCAGCTGTCCCCCATCAGAATAACAGCTTGCCTCGTCCCCAAGCAGCACCTTCAAACACCATCTCTAATCCTCCTCTGCACACACAGATGGCAAGTACCTGACAGCAGCCAGGCCTCTGGAAAAATGTGATTTTAGCTCCCAGCTGGTTAATTACAACTAGAATTTATGGGTCAAATACATATCTATTTATTACCAGAGATTCATCCTACTTCCATACTAGTCTGCTTGTTTGTTCACTTGGCTGCCATTTATTGTCAGATTTGACAAGCAGGGAGGAGAGGAGGCAGCTCAGTAAAGCAACCATGACAGACATTTGCAACTACATTGAAGGGGTCTGAAATAGGCAGCCACGACTGGGAATCCTGTTGTCAGCATAGTTAAATTACAGCTCCAATCGAAGGTTTTTCAGTGATCTGAAAGTCAAAACAGCATGAAACCTACAATTTAGGCTAGAAGCAGCAGAGAAGGTGAAATCAAGTCTAGATCAAGAGCCCAAAGAGGGAAGGCTGAACCTGGGAGCAAGTGGAGGCTGGAGAAAGGGGAAGAGGCAAACAGAGGCAGGGACCT